GGCCCAGACCCGGGGTCTGCCTTTGGAAATGCCAGTCTCTTCCGCGGCAGAGGCACAGAGAGGGCGCTCAGCCTTCCTGGACCCACGCGGGAGGACTGCCACTCAACCGGAAGGCCGCGGGTCCACGGAGACTGCAGCCGGCTCCTGACCCTAGTGCCACCTCCTCCCCTCCCCCAGCCTAAACCTCCTGACTAAGACGCCTGGTCCAGGGGTGCCACCAATTCTGAGACAGCCCGCTCCAGAGGAGCCAGGGGGAGAGGCGGTGTGGGGAGCCTCACCCTAGCTGCCCTCATCTTTTCCCGACTGGGTTTCCTAAAACGGGCAGCAGAGGTATAGCCCTAGTGACAGCGACCTTCCTCCACATCTGAACGGAATCCAAATGGAGTTTTCCATTCTTTCTCCTCAGGCCCTCAGCCCGCGCCTTGGTGCCTCCTGCACGGTGTTACCGTGAGCCTTGCTGAGAAGCCATTTTGTGCAGCATTCTCCTGAAACCACACCAGAGGGGCTTGTTCCTCGCGCTTTATCTTTCTTCGCCTCCTTCTCGCTCAGGTGAACTGGGCTTTAGCCCCTTCCCTGCCTCCGAAGCTTCACCCTTCCCCCCCACCCCCAAGGGTCCCACAGGGACTAGGGTCACACACACACTAAGGAGAAGAGATTTTCTGGGGCTGCAGGAGGAGGGGAAGTGAGGGGCACCTCCTAACTATAGAAATACTTCCACCCACGTTAGCCTTCTCTGGGCCCAAATTTGAATTCTTTCTTAAGCTCGGGTTTCATCCTCCCCACTCCTGGTTCCCCTCTGGACTTGGCTGTTGTTTTGCCTTCTGGAAAAAGGGATGCGAGGGGGCTTACCAAAAGTTCATGGAAAAATGGAATGAAACAATAGTAGGATTTTCCCAGGGACTTTTTGAAGCCCCTTCGTATGTCTGCGAGATGGGATTTGGAGTGAGCTGCAAAGGTGGCAGGCGGGTTTAGGATAAGGGAGGAAGTAAAGACAAATCTGGGGTAGAGACAGATGCCTAACCAAACTGGGAACTTGACATTTGGAGGTGTGTCTTTTCTAAGAAATAAGAAATATGGGGAGAAATGATGAAATCCTTTCTAAGTCACTCATTTTCTGATTCTTCTTTGGGTCTCTTCTTTGGAACCTGTCCTTTGGGGGATACGGAGGGATCTTGGCCCAGGGCCACTAAATATCCCAGTCCCTATTCAACGGAGGCACCCAGAGAGCTCTGTGCCCAACCCCTCTGAGCTTTGCCCTTTGCCTGTGCCAGAGGAGCCTCCAGGACAAGAAGAGATGGCCACTGAAAGTGGGGGCTCCCCACCCCCATCTCTACCTCAGAATCTCTTCCTAGTTCTTAGCCTGAAGGTTTTACTGGGGAGTGCCTGCAAGCAAAACGATTACATTGTCCAAAATTAATTCTGCTCGGGGTGAAGGAAGGTGAAAGGCTTTGCCAGCAGCGAGAAGGAGGCCTCCTGTGAGTTCGAAGGGTTGTCCATCTGGAAGACTGCAGTGGGGTCCAGGCTCCATTTGTGGGTGACTTGAGGCTTCTGAGGTGGCAGCCACCTTTCTCTGGCACCAATGACTTGGAAGGAGGGGCCGAGTCTGAGCTGAGGGCTTCAGGCGCGTCAGGGCCTGGTTCTGTGCTTTCATTTGTTTGCGGTGTATGAATCTAAACAACAAGGAGCCTGTGCCAAGGCCATCTCCAGGCTGTGTCTCAGAAGGATGCAAAAGCAGCAGCCCAGCGGCCTGGAACCTAGGTCCAGGGCCTAGCCCGAGTGTTGCGTGCCTAGGGAATCTTGACACATAGAAATATGGGTAGGAACTTGTGCCGCCCTGCACACCAACGGGAGAGTCACTCTGGCTCCCAACCATAGACTGTGGACAAGGGTCGACAGGGCCTATTGTAAGATGCTAGGCCTAAGGAGAGGTGGAGGGAAGTTAAAAGCACAAGAGCTTCTGTTCTTGACCTCTCCAAGGTTCCCTTGGCTGTCCGGGACAGCTCCTCACCAAGAGCCCCTACAAGTCTCTCCAAGCCTGGTTACCCTAGCAAGCTTGGCTCTCTATCTCTGATATCTCCTGGTGGCTGCCTCTCCAGGGCTTGAGGGGAGATATAAGGATTTGTGGGAGTGACCAGGCTGTGCGCACCTGGGCTCCTGCGGGTCGGGGAAACAGTGAACGCAGGGGCCATTGTAAGGATAGGTGGCGGGGAGCGCGGGAAGGGGGCTGGGTTTTGAATGAAAGCCCGTGATTGGCCAAATCCTCGACTGACGTCACTTCCCCGCGGGGCGATTAGCTTGCAGGAGGAGGGCTGGCGGTCCAGTGCGCTGGGGGCTGCCAGGGCGCCCGAGGTTGCCGAAGCGCACCGCGTTGGTACTCTCAGTGCGCCCCAAGCCGCCATCGGAGCCGGCAGCAGGCGCCGGCGCCTGGACGCACACAG